ATTAAAACTTCAATGTTTTGGTAAAATGTATATTCAAGGGATAATTCAATTTTTTTCGTTTATGTTATAATTTGTTGACCAAGGTCACAGTAAGTATGCCTGAAATGGTTTTATTGCTAGTGTGATTTGAATAGTTCCTTTTTCCCTACATGCTACATTTCTCAATTTGTCCGTCATATTTGTACCGTTTCAACAGAAGAATATCAGATGCATTATTCACACAGAACCACCGAACATGGCTGAATGACGAAACGCGTCTGACCGAAACTGACGGACCGACGGTGGTCAGGGGCAATCAAACTGCACACAAGTTCAACACCTCTCAGACCAACTAAAAAAACTTCGCTTTTTTTATAATTTTGTTTAAAAAAATTAAATTTAAAATAATTTAATGATATTACAAAGTACTTTGAACTTATAAGTACATAATGAATTTACACAACTGAACCTAAGGGTTCTTTGCCTGCTTTCATCCATGAGAAACAATAAATTCTTATTGAGCATTAAAAGTTTTCAAGTACTTTCTGACTGAAGTGAAAGCCATAATAGCACCTACTTTGCTTTTCAATTCCCATTCAAAATCAAAGAAATGTGCCTTATCACGAAAACATTCAAGGACACTGTTTTGAATGGTTGGTATTTTTGTATTGTTTTTTTATCGTCAATAACAAAATCTATTGCTATGTTTTATGCATTGTCTTAAGAGTTAAATCCAAAAATTTACTGATTGACATGAACATCGTGGCTGACTAGGTCTGTACTACTTACTACTTCATTGCACATCTATTCTGTATGTATATATTTTGCTAGAAAGACATCTTTGGAAGAATCTGAGTAAAATGGACTGTGAATGATTCGTTGTCACTTTTAGAATTGAAGTAGTTGAAGAAGAACGAGTTTGACCAATTTCTCACCACCTGAGTCGGACCGGAGATAATTCCATGAAGATTAAGTTTCATCCTTCTCAACCAGTCCTACCAAGGCGTTTCATTTTCAAAGGAAACTGTAAAAATCCGTTTAGGATCCCCCCACAAAAAAAAAAAAAAAAAAAAAAAAAAAAAAAAATCGATCAGGTATATTTTTATTGTAGAAAATAATTTTCTGATTAATAATATACTGACAAACTCTAGGCAACTCGAATTCACTTACTCGTTCTAAGTGGTGTTTGACTTTTATTTCAAAGTAATTTAAAATAGATATCAATAATATAACTAGTACGTACCTAAAAATATCGTGAAGTAAAAGGAGCCTGGTTTACAATTAAACTATGAGGTTGAAAAATGAAAATAAAATCTACAAGCATGTTAGTGAACCCCCTTAGATAGTTAATTAAGCAAGTTCGCTATGGAAATACCCTAAATCAAAAAAATAACATGGTTAATTTACTGTAGAGAACCCGTATGGATTGGCTTTCTTTGAATGAGATGTTGACTTTCTGGAATCATGATTTAAAATATATAAAAAAAAGTCCTAATTGTAATCTTGTTTAATAATAATTAATTAATATGATCGATTAATTAATATAATTTAATAACAATAATCAAATCAATTCCTGCTAAACCCGCAAGCCTGGGCGGAAAGGCTGGTAGGGTATAACCAAATATTTGGACGGCGTTCTTCCTTTATACAAGCCATTCAAGATGTTTAGTACTGACCATTGAAATATTAACATCTTCAATGATAAAATTTCACTATGACGTGTGTTTGATTGACATGTGCGATACACTTTTATGATTTTTTTTATTTCCTAAGTTATATTTTCTTAGAATTATTAAAAAACTAACTTTCCAAACTCGACTTAAATATACTATTTGACAATGAAAAACTATTTAAAGTTACGTATAAATGGCCAGTTTTTATTCATTATTTTAGGTAAAATACTTGCAAAACTAACTGGATATTTTTAAAGAAAAATATAATATTCAGGTAAGCGAAAAATTAAATTGAGTAAAATAATTTTACTAAAAATGTAAACAATGAAGAAAATATTCAATTCAGTTTAGAGAATTTCCTCCTCTTGCGTTGATCACCGCTTGCATTTGATTTTATGAGATTTTGAATGTAGTGCCGGGGAATATTTTCATACTCCTCCAACAGCACCATTCTTAATTTCTGCAGTCTCTGGTATACTGGGCGACTTTTTACCCTCTTTGACAACTCGTGTGTCGATAGAATTGAAATCGGAACTATTACCCGTTGCAATTAGTCACCAAAAATCCTAGCTGTGTGGGGGTCTTGCATTATTTTGCATAAAAATAAAAATAAATCTCAACTAAAAACCTAAATTAATTGTAAAGTATTAATTGGTCAAGCGGACCACGAAAATAGTGAATTTAATAAAAATAAAATCCACAATAAGTGGGCTGTTAGGTAATCCTCGATGAAGATCAAGTTTGTGCGACCTTCCATAAAAACGCCTGCCGAAACTATTACGCCGCCACCTCAATTGATGAGATTCCTTGCGAAATTTAACCGAGTGTTCTGTGCCATGTCAGAAGTTCTGGAACCAAAGGAAGGCCTCGCACGTAATACAATTTCTGAAAGTCTCTCTCTTTCTACTAATGCCTTACTTAAACTGAAATTAATATTCATTAAGTTGAAGGTTTTTAATCATGTTTGGAACCTCTGGAGTTCGTCCATTTCTCATTTTGTTTTATGTATTGTATTATTATGTATTTGTATTATTCTGAGATTGGGTCTATGTAATTTTCCTAGTTATAGTTGTGGGCCTATAGTTGATTGTGTAGATATTTTGATCATTCCTATCATTCTCATGAGTGTTACTTTATCTAACTGTAGCTGGAGTTTGCTAGTATTAGAAAGGGTTCTTTAACCACGATTTTACCATGTCTGGCACCTCAAAAGTCTCTTTGGGTTTTGTAAGGTCGCATTATGAGATGTAGAAATTAATATTTCATCTTGTTACCCCAATTATAGATTCTGGTCTATACCTGGTCTTGCAGATCTTCCTCTGCCTCTTATAGTTGTATTAACCCAGTATCCCTTTGCGTACTGGCAACATATTGCAGATTGTTAAGTTTTCCCAAGTTTTGGAGATTTTAGATATGTGCTTTTTTTGTGCTAATGCTTTTTGGGCCACTTGGCTGTGTGTTAATATGTGTATTGTTTTCAGTTCTTTTATTATTTGCTATGGCGCAAACATGATAGCTTGTTCTGCTCGAAAGAATTTGGGCTTCCTTAGAATATATCTCACCTGGTTCCCTCATTGATTTTTGAGTAATCCGTACAACATTGTTACGGTTTACTCTTTACGTTATACAGAGAACGTAAAGTGAGAGTACAACGTCTCGTTACGGTTTCTTTGGTTTCTTCTTCACTTTTTAGTATGCTACAACTTTATATGATGTTACAAAGACTGCTTCCAGAATCATATAATCAGTCACCATTTCTAATAGTAGATGTCTGATTTTAATTTTTATTATCGTATGATCGAAATGGTTAATCCCCAATTAGTTTATTCGTTTCTGCAATATGTATGATTTTTTTCTAGTTTCTTGGTTATATGTTTCCATTAGAGGATAGATTTAGCAGTGTTTTCTAATGCTCTGATGGTGTTGTCATTATTCCTGTGATGGCGTAGATATACCGTTCTTCTGATTTTCTCCTGATTCCTTTTCCCACTTTTACAGTCTATTGAAACTTTGTAGTGTTGCAAAGGATGTTTCCGGGATCATCAGTCACCGTTTATTTATATTTTGTAGGTCTTCGTGTACAATTTTAATTTACATTTTGTTTAAAGCAACAAAAAATTTCCTTTCATATTCTTAAGGCTTATTTTTCGAACACTTGATTTATATCAAATCGTTGGGACTTGGATTAACTCTCATAGTACGTAAATATATAAATGTTCAGTGCGAACGGAAGTCAAAGTAATTTAGTAATTTAACTTGTATTATTAGGCACAGTTGTGTCTATAATAAGACGTATACTGTTCGAAGGTCATGTATGTTCTTTACATTCCTGTTTACATGCATGTAAATATGTAGTTAATTTATTCTAGTCCTGGAAAAAAATCGTCAGAGGGAAATTAAACGGCCTTCAACCATACTATTCGCATTACTAATATAGTTTACTTTGAATGAGGGGGAAGTGACTAAGAATGGAGTAATATAACACGATTGAATGTGCAGGGACTTTTCGAATCACTTTTCCCTCCGAGGTGCGGGGAAATCACATGATTTTCACCAAAGGTCGATCGATCATAACGCAGTTGTGCACCGAACCGCCGTGCGCGCGGGCTCGCCTATTGTTCCTAGGAAAAGTAAATAGATAAGTGGTCCGTACCCCCACTCGAACCATTCGACCTTGTCCATCTGATTTGACACCGGCTACTGTCGGATTCGAAAGTCGAAGATAGTCACAGTAGTTCTCTCGGTTCTGAAGAGTGGTGAACCAGCGCGTGTGTAGGAGAGAGAAACGAAGCAGAAATCGATAAAGGGAGGGGTCGGGTTTTAGTGCCATGGATCCAGACCCAAGCAACGGACATACCAAGGGCTCCAACTTGCCCAGGCAGTGTAAGTTATCATGTTTTCAACTCGTATCAATAAAAAACCCGGCCATGAATACCTACAATTGACTTTCAAACATTTGATGAAAAGAGAAGTTTAAACGAGGGGTTAAAACATCCCCTAAAAAACCGTCATCTTTCTACCCTTATTATCTTATTTTATTAACAATCCTAGACAACGATTTTTCCCGTTTTGCTCATTATTATATAAATTGTAATCAATTTTGTTCATTTTCTTCTATAATACCAAAAAAAAAAAAAATTACTACGCACATCGGTTGCGTATTGCTTTGTTAATGCGTACATAAATGATCGGTTAATACCTTCAGGGAATATCGATTGATATGGATTTGGTATTGTTTCCTGCGAACGTATCATAGGGTACAACTTTATTGTTCAAAAACGAATTTTATTAAAATAAACTTTTTATTATTCATATAAATCAATTCAATATTATTTTTTATTGTTTCAGATGCTTGGTTTAACCCGGCTCGACTGCATCCTGCAGGTAAAACAAACATATATATATTTAATATATCTTTCAATGTTTTAATGATTATATTACCAACTTATTCCTATTCGGTTTATCTCGTTTTAATTTATACCAAGCGTTTCGATTGATTTATATAAATGATACACTGTCCGAAACAATAAACAGTAGTGTACTTAATACCCATAGGAAATCGTTGATAATAATTATATTTATAGTGACAATAATAGAATTAATTTGTTTGAACTTTGATCACGATGATCGTCGTAGTTTTCCTCGAGAATAATCTGGGAGCGCGAGTGAGCAATGCGGCAGAGAGCTCTGTCTGAAAGGTCCGTCATTTTTTTCTTCTTAATCTTTTCACTAACAACACTGAGATATCCTATTATTTATAATTTCTTATCGCATTTGACGAATTTTAGAATTTTTTAAACCCTGTAAATTTATCAAGAAACTGGCATGAAACAGAACTGATCAAAAATACAATACATTCTTCGTAATAAACTATATTGACAGGGTTCAAGACTTTTTAAAAATGTTATTACGGTTTTTTGTATTAATATTTTTTTGAGTTTTTAAAATGAAAGCATTTTTTAGCCAGTGAAAGGCAAATAACAATATTCAATAAATAATTCTCATACAATCTCAAATCCGATTTTAAAGACATATATTTCGGAAGCCTTTAGACAAGTTTAAACCTGATTCACTTTTTTGTTGTCTTAAATACTTGAGGGAAGATAGCAAGTTGTTGTGTGAGTGAGGAATAAACGATAATGATAATAACAGATAGTTTTGAAATACGAATTTAACTCTAGTCAGAAATAAGGTTTAAAAGATTTTCCATAATAACAGACACTTTTTACAGTGTTTTATTTGAATTGAACCCACGACACGTAGACATTAGCTCTTACAGACTTTGATGATTTGTGTAAAAAGCATAGACTAGACAAGTTCTATGAATAAATAAATCCATGTTACAGCTGGAAATGAATCATCGAAGCACTGAATAAACATGACGTGCCGTTTCTATGATGAATAGAAGTACTATTTGCTAGTTTTTACGATTCTGGCAGACAAGCAACTTAAATTTTTCTAATTTTAATTAGTTGTTGATGTATATTTTGTTCGATCATTACATAACAAAACTTATCCAAAAAATCAATAGTCTCATTTGTTGCTGAGGTGTATTCCAAAACAAGTTCAGATGTGCTGTAACTTGGTTTTTGTTTACCAAGGTCAATTGTCACGCGCAATACCTCGAGAAGTACCTTGAAATCCTTAAATTACTTGTTATTTTGGATTGTAAATACCATTACGTAAATACCGTCATAAAGTGTAATAAACACATTTTACAAACTTTATGAAAGTCATTCTAGTAAAATTCCACAAATCGTTTACCTTTTCGGTTAAAACACAAAAAGAAAAGGTGAACGTAAAAAGTTTAACAGTTTCAATTTAATTATTTCAATTGTACACTAAAAGCAATTATTATAAGTTTATTTTTAGAAAACGGAAAACCAAATTATGTTGGATTGCAACTGCAATTGGAAATGCAACTCGTAAAACAGGATTTATTATGGTTAGAGTTGATCGGCCCAACGGTGTTTCTGTCTTCCTATCTATTTAAATATGATTGATTTATGATGAAATATTGACAGTGCTATATCACCTTTGATTGGATTATCAGAAAATTAATGTATGATGTATGTTTTTCTAATCCTTAAAGATTATGCGTTGGTGAATCATTAATTATTAGACATTGTACTGTCTGTGGTACAGTTTTCAATTTTGAATTTTATTCAAAAAACGAAACATTTTTTAAAGTTTTTTGGGGTGGATAATTTGAATATGACAAAACATGGCAAATATAAAATAGAAATCCATTCATCTATAGGACCACGTATGTATTTTGGATTTTATAATTGGTAAAAATTATTTGTTTAGGATTATAAATATTTTGAATTATTAGCATCCATCAAGCACTTATTCTATTGTTTATAGTAAACCTATGCCTGTTCAACATGAACATTTTAAGTTTTCCATATAAGAAATTTCTCATCCCATCGTTGTTTTTAGATCAGTTTAAATTTTGATTTAATAAATATTGGTTAGTTTGCATTAGATGACATACTTTGATGACATTCTATAGGCATTTATCTATAATCCTCTTATCGGTTTTCGACTGGAACAATTTATTTAAAATATTTGATAATATATTTCACTTTCACTAAAGTTGAGATTGTACAAATTTTTATGTATTTAAAGTTTCAACTAAGGTATTGAAAAAATGTCTTTTATATAATTTAAATTAGAAAAACTTCCAAATCTATTCATATATATCTATAGGACTATTTTGAATGAGACAAATTACTTTGGCAAACTTAAATTATTACAACGCTGAAGTCCTTCCATATTTTTCTAAAAAAAAAAAAAGCCAGAGGCAATACAATTGTCAAATCATCACATTCATCTGTAGATATGATTACATTTTATGCAAAATATTTGTTTACTGATGATTTGAAACAATTTATATTATTTCTTGTTTAAAACTAATCTGGTATCAAGTATACAGCATGCTTACAAATTCAGGATTGTCTTATAGTTCCTTTATTATCTATACAGCAGTTATCAGTTTTTAATTAAAATCATTTCTGTGGAAAATTTGGATTAATAAATTCATTGAAGCCTTTCCTTATATATTCCATTATGTATAGGCGGCCACTTATCGGTTTTGTATCGGCAAAATTACTTTAAATAATTTTATTTCTCTACCTTTCCATGAACATAAGTTTATATATTTCAAAACTTTTATATTATTTACATTTAAAAATACATTGAACTTCTTCTACAGACGTTTCTTTATAGGCCTGTTATCGGTTTTTGAGATGGAATAATTTATTTCAATAATTTGAGTTATTGGAAATCTGTTTCACTCTTGGATCGGAAATAATATTTTGATTAATTGAAATTAGGAAAACGCCTATAGTTAATTTAAATTTCAAAAATTGTCGTGCCTTAGAATTCATTGTCTGTTTACTAGGTCTGTTTACTTACTCGATTGGGAAAAATTCTTTGACTAATACAAATTTTAATTCGAAACCTAAAAACTCTTTTATTGACATTCACAGTTTCTAGGTCTGTTTAAACTACTGGGTTTTGAAATTTTCTATGCCTAATATAAATTATGAAAAACCATACGCCTTTTTATGATTTAGTCTAGAACAGTTTATTCGGATAATACATACATTAAAAGCATTGAACCCTCTACTATAAATATTTTACAGCACCTAACTGTTTTATGGTAAAAACCTTTTTGAATAATTTGAATCATTAAGAACTTCTAAGCCTAACTCTAGAGGTCAATTTTCTACTTTTCAATAGATTTTCCATTTTATGCCTTTCCATACACTTTCCATTTTGTGCCTTTCCCTAGATTTTTCATTTTCTTCCTTTCCAAAGCTATTCGAGTTTCTGCCCACCATATATTTTCCATTTGCGGCCCTTCCATAGACGTGAAATTTTCCGAATTTCCTTTTCGGCTTTTTCCATTCCCCTATTCCATAGACTTTGCATTTTGTGCTTTTCCCCAGATTTTTCATTTTCTACCTTCCCATAGATTTTCCTTTTGCTGCCCTTTCATAGACGTTGAATTTTGTGCCTTTCCATAGATTTTTAATTTTTTGTCTATCAGTAGATTTTCCATTTTCTGCCTTTCCATATATTTTTCAGTTTCTGCCTACCGTAAATTTTCCATTTGCTGCCCTTCTTAGACGTTAATTTTTTTATCTTTCCATTGTCTCCATTTTCTGCCTGCCCATAGCTTTTCCAGTTTCTGCCTTTCAATAATTTTTTCCATTTGCTGCCCCACCATAGACGTTAAACTTTCTGCTCATGTATACTTTCCAGTCTCCGCCTTTTCCATACATTTTCTGTTTCTGTTATTTCATATACTTTCCATTTTCTTTTGGCCTATTTTCATTTCTGGATTAGGAAAATTCCTTATTAAAATTATAAGAAATTCTGAGCTTTCCAATGACCATTAGCCGTCAATAGGAAAATTTTCACTGTTGGATTGGTAACATTTCTTAGCGTAATACAAAATAAAAACATCTAAACATTTTTCATAGTCATTTCACAGTCGATTCGTTTAGTTTTCGATAAGGGAAATTTTAAGTTATAACAACTTCTAGGCCCACCCATAGGCTTCACTGTAGTGAGGTTTCACTAAATTTTATAAATTTCACTTATTGATTTGAAATATTTCTATGTATAATTTAAATTGTAATAATTTCTATACCTCCTTATAGAAATTCACTGACTACATGTCAGTTTCCACCATTGAATAGGGGTTTTCTTTGTATAATGTAAATTTTGAACATTTCTAAGTAGACTTTGACCTTTAATACCCATAGACCTTGAAGTCTTTCCATGTTTTAGTTATGTTATTTGTTATTGTATGAAGTTTAAAATTTTGAAACCCAGTATGTTGTTTGTATGCATGCCCACGAGGCCAATTTCTTGCCAGATTGATGGCGACGTAGTCCGAATGCGATAACATGCCGAGTAAATATGTCTTATCTCTCATTGTCTTCGGACTTCAACCTGGTGCAATTTATGTAGAAAAACACCCAGGGCCGTCAACAGTATTCCATATCGATTCGGCGGGCCGACAACTGTTGAGAGCGGCCATCTTGCGGCCCCCTACTCAATCCTCAACAGCTATGACCGGGATATCACCCTGTCCTTTTTTTTATTTTTAGACATAACTCTTGGCAGCATTCAAGCCAAAAATTTTCAACGCTTAGAAATAGTTTGAGCCCGAGATCGCCTTAAGCCGCACGACCGAGGCGTGAGCTTGGACGGAAGTGAACATTGCCTCGAACTTCAACGAATCCAAAGTCCGACTTGCCCTCTGTGAACTGCCTGGTTGTGTGAACATTCCAATTTTTTCAGTTTTTAAGTGCTGTGAAATTAAAATGGCTCTAAACAGACAAGAACGTGAGTGTATCTTAACTGAA